CAAGCTGTCCAATCCCTACCTCACAATTTCTCCCCTCCCTCTCCCATTCTCCCGCCACCCGTTCCCTTTTTAAACACCCCTTCCTCTTCTCCTCCCTCTCCCCCCTCCAGAACATGCTACTCAACATTCACAACTCCGCTAAAAACGCTAGGCACACCCTCCCCGCAAAGAACAACCGCATGAATAAAACTTCCTCTCCCCCCGCCCACTCATCCCCTCATCACCTCCTGTTGTCTCCTAACGGCAGACAATCTCAGTCCACTCCTGGTATTGCCCTCAACCCCTCCCCCTCTCCCCTCTATCCCCCCTCGCTCCCTCCCAATCTCCTCCTCCTTATTCCTTTCCTCTTTCCTCTCCTTCCCCTCCCCCCACTTCCTCTTCCTCTCTTCTTTCTTCTCTTAAAACCTTCTTCAACTTCCTCATCGAAAATCACTCTCCTCTCTTACACTCTCTCGGCATTCTCGATATCATCCGTACTCTTCTCTCTCTTCTCTCCGTCTTTCAAATATAAATCACTATAATGACGCCCTCAGCTGATTTGCAAGCCAATTCCCCCATAAATATTCTTCAATGGAATTGCCACTCTATTGCAAATAAAATCGATCTCCTCCGTAGATCAGCTCTCGATCTCGGCCTCCACATCATCGCCCTGTCTGAAACCTGGCTCAAACCCTCTCAGTATCTCTCGATAAAAGATTTTCATATTCTCAGGAAAGATGGAGATACCCGTAATATACGATACTCTGGAGGATTATTACTTGCCGTCAACAAACACATTCCTTTCAAATTAGTCCCCGACCCCTTCTCTATCCAAGGTAAACTAGACTCAATGGGAATCATCATCTCCCTCGTACAAGAGCCTCTTCTTATACTTTCTATTTACAGATATCCTCAATACTCTTTCTCCATCGAGGAATGGAACGAGCTATTCCATTATTGCTCTTCTTTCGCTCATTCTGTGATCCTTCTGGGCGATTTTAATGCTCGCCACTCTTCCTGGGGATGCGAAAGAAATAACTACCCCGGCATCTCTTTATGTAACTCAGCTTCTTCCCTTTCTTTTAGATGCATCAACGATGGAACTCCGACTTTTCTCTCTCGCCCCAACCAGGCTAAATCTGCTATCGATCTAGCCTTCATTTCTTCTCCCTTCTTCTTTAACGTAAAATGGAAAGTGCTTGAAGATTCTCTAACCAGCGATCATTTTCCTACTCTTTCTTCTATTGACTGCTCCTACTTAAAGCGCCCTTTTTTTTCTTGTAAACTTAAATGGTCTGACTCGATCAAAAAATCTTTCGCGGAAGCCCTCTCAACCAACTTCCACGACCTCTCATCCTCTCTCCAGAACCCTTCCCTTTCCCCTAATGAAAGACTTAACATCCTCACCTCCTCTCTGTTAAAATTTCATCCCTCTCATCACAACAACAATCATAACAGCAAAAACAAAAACAACAGCAAGTCCCCCCGCACCTCACCTCCCTCCTCTCCCGCTCCCCTTAATCCCTCCTCTCATTCCTCCTCCAACCCTCCAGTTCCTTGGTGGAACGAAGACTGTGATAAAGCCATTTCAGAGAGAAAACTAGCTCTCCTTCTCTACAAGGCCTTTCCATCGGTCTCCAATTTCACAGAACTCCAGAGACAAGAAGCCATCACCAAACGAACTCTTAAAAGAGCAAAGAAAGCCGGATGGCATTCCTTCTGCGCCTCTCTTTCTCACACTACTTCTATCTCCAAGCTCTGGTGCATGATCAAACGCTTCAAACGCAGACACCTTGGACTCCTTCCTTCTCCTCCATCTTCAAACTTCGAAACTCCTCCTTCTATTCAACACTTAATCGACTCTCTTTGTCCTCCTTCCTCACTCCACAAAGTCTACCGTTCATTAGCTGATTTTTCCCCCCTTGCTTCCTTCCTTCCCCCCTGCACTATCTTTAATGATCCCTTCTTTCTAGATGAACTCCGCATAGTAATAATAACCTTAAAATCCGTTCATCTCCTGGCCTGGACAGGATTGATTACCAGCTCATCTCTCTACTTCCCATACACTATCTCGAGATCCTTATTAACATTCTTAATAGTATCCTTGACCAGGGAATCTTCCCTTCGTCGTGGTCGCACTCCCTGGTCTTTCTGATCCCCAAAAGCTCTCCTAACAAATTTCGCTCGATCTCCCTCACCTCCTGCTGCCTGAAACTCTTGGAAAGACTGATCTTGTCTCGGCTGGACTGGTGGATTGAAAGGCATCATGTTCTTCCCCCTTACCAATCTGGATTCAGAAAGAGTAGGTCGTGTCAGGATAACCTTGGCATCCTCTTTTCTGAAATCTACAAAGGTTTTGCTAAAGGACATGTTACCATCTGCACTTTCCTCGATATAACCGGAGCGTTCGATAATGTCATCCCTAATTTATTAATCGAAGATCTTGAAACTATAGGCATTCCACCAAAAATTTGTCTTTTTATATACAATCTCATTTCATGTAGAAAATTACAATTCGTCATCAACGGAACACTATCCAACGTTTATTACTCATACAAGGGCGTCCCTCAGGGATCTATTTTAAGCCCCCTTCTATTTAACATATACGTCTCTAAGATCCGTAACTACATATCCAAAGACTGTCAAATTGTACAGTTTGCCGATGACATCGCGATATTTATTTCCTGTCCCGTCTCTCAAATCAAATCCTCCAGTAAAAAACTCGAAACATCCCTTGTTAAACTCTCTAACTTCCTTAGCTCCAAAGGTCTAGACATTTCGCCTGAAAAATCTGCACTCATGACTTTCTCAAGAACCAAATCCACCCCTCCAGCGCCTCTTATTGTGCTTAACGGACATACGATCAGATCTGTCTCATCATTCAAATTCTTAGGTGTCTTCCTTGACTCTAAGCTCCTCGGACATCCTCATATCAACTATCTGACTCAAAAAGCTAATAAACTTATCTGTGTTATCAGATCGCTGTGCGGTACTTGGTGGGGCTCTGATCCGAAACTCCTCCTTGGTATCTACAAATCCGTTATTAGAGGAAGCATTGAATATGGCTGCCAGTTTCTCCCCGTTAACCATTCTTCTAAAATCATCAAACTAGAAAAGATCCAGAGGAAAGCCATAAAAATTTGCCTCGGTTTGAGATCCTCAACTCCATCCAATGTGGTTCTCGCAGAATCTGGCATTCCACCTCTTAAGCTCCGCTGCATTCTCCTCTCAGAAAGATACATTCTCAGGTCTCTTGCCTCTTCCAACAACCCCATCATTGATTCACTCTACGATCTGCAACTATCTCTTCTTAATAGAAACAACCAACATTTCTCTATCAACTTTCCCTTATATCACGCTTTTCTCAAAATCAAAAAATATAAATCTTACATTTCCTCCTTCGAGGGTCCTCCTGTTTACAACTTCCCATATCAATCTTCTATTTACCTACCGAAAACTGTATTCACTCCCAAAAATCTTGTCGACCTTCTTAAGAAATCCCCCTTCCCCCAAATCGCTTTTATGTCCTCCCTTAACGAATTCATTTCAGATCGTACGAGCTTTTACACCGATGCCTCCAAATCTCTTTCAGCCATATACGTGGGCTTTTCGATTTACTCTCCTTCTCTCAAAACCCAAAAATTGTATAGGATTACTTCATATGCTTCCATATTCACAGGAGAAGCTCTAGCCGTCTTTTTTTCTATCGAGATCATCATCTCCCAACAGATTCGTTCCGCATCTATCTTTACCGACTCGCGCAGTGTCGTCGAGGCCTTAACATCACTGAAACCCGGCAGAGAACTCAGTCATCTTATCTTTGCCATCAAGGACAAACTTAGGATGGCTGAGTCCTTCCATCTCGATATTACTATTGTCTGGATCCCTGCTCACGTAGGGATCCTAGGTAACGAAACGGCCGATCTCCTGGCTAAAAGAGCAATCAGTACGGGTGTAACTCTTTCTAACACCATACCCTATTCCGACCTCTTCTATCTCTCAAATGAAAGTCTCAAAACTTCCTTCTTAAACTGTCTCTCTAATGCATCTACAGGAAAAAATTATTTTAGACATTATTCTTCTCCCCCTTTCTACCCGCCCTGGTTCTACAACTCTGGGCTTGAGAGAGAGAGAATCACCACCATCTGTCGTATGCGTGCTGGGCACTACAATCTTAATGCCAACCTCTTTAAATACAAAATAGTCGCATCCCCCCTCTGTTGCTGTGGATGTCCACAACAGGACATTGAACATATCCTATGGGAGTGTCCTTCACTCGCTTCGAACCTCGCCTTCTCTCTTCTCTACAAGCCACACTCAAAAAACCTCCTCCCTATCATCTAATCTCTCTCTTAAAAGATCCGTCTCCTTCTATTGTCAACTCTGTTTTTTCCTTCTTACACTCTCACAATCTCAAAATTTAAATTCATCATGATTTCTGACCTCCCTTCCTCGCCTACAAAATTCTATATATATAACACATATTCCTCCTTCCTAGGCTTCATCCTCTACTCCATAGAAACTGAAACTGAAACTGTAAAACTGAAAAACTGAAAAACTGGACAAACTTTAGCTGCATATAAACCAGTCAAACAAAATTGGAAACCGAACCTAACGCATCAATCTTGAAACAACTTACCTCTGGCCGTAAGGGTCCGGATAGACCTGGCGCCACGAAATCTTAGAAGAAGAAGATATATGTGGCGTTCTGCCATACGCCACACAGGCGTAACGGCGTATAGCGCCGAGCGCCTGAGCGCACGGCAACCTAGGCGCGCAAACTAGTGCGCGGGAGCGCGAGCAGACATGCACCGATCTTCGCGCAAGTGAGATCCGGCAGGACCCGTATATAAGGCCGACCGCGGAAAGCCGAAATCGAATCTCAACTCGCAAGTCGCTACGAACGGATAAACCGCTCACAAGACGAACAAGCTCGAGTGTTCTTTTGGAGTTTGGACCTGACCAAACTAACTGGCACTAAGCACATCCGGACAACAGCGTACCATCCAGAAGCGAACGGAATGGTGGAGAGGTTCCATCGCCAACTGAAGGCCGCAATTAAATGCTACGAGACAGAGGAATGGACCCAAGTACTACCCGTCATACTACTCGGCATCAGGGCAGCCTGGAAGGAAGATGTAAACTCCACTCCAGCAGAAATGCTATACGGAGAGCCAATACGCCTTCCAGGACAGTTCTTGGATAGCAGCAGTTCGCCCAGGCAAGGAGAGGAAGACACTCTAGTGACAAGGCTGAGGAAGGCAATGATCCGACTACAACCAACAGTCAAGCATCATCGCCAAAAAGACCACCTCGTCTTCAAAAAGATGGAGACGGCATCACACGTGTTCGTGCGACACGATGCACCAGCCGGAGCTCTTCACTTGCTATACGACGGACCATTCGAAGTACTGAACCGAAGCGACAAAACGTATAAAATCCGAGTCAGAGGGAAGGCTGTCAACATCTCAGTCGACAGATTGAAGCCAGCCTACATCTTGGACGAAACGCCAACCCACGAGATGCCAAAGACTGACCCGGAAGCGACATCCAAGACGACAAGAGCAGGACGAACAGTACGCCAACCAGTACGCCAGATTCACAGCCAAATAGGACCAACTCTACCACAACCAGGGGGGTCCTGTGGCGTTCTGTCATACGTCGGGCTCAGGCGTAACGGCGTAAGCGCCGAGCGCCTGAGCGCACGGCAACCTAGGCGCACAAACTAGTGCGCGGCAGCGCGAGCATACAGGCGCCGATCTTCGCGCAAGTGAGATCCGGCAGGGCCCGTATATAAGGCCGACCGCGGAAAGTCGAAATCGAGTCTCAGCAAGTCGCTACGAACGGATAAACCGCTGACAAGACGAACAAGCTCGAGTGCTCTTTTGGAGTTTTGGAACTCCCCGTAACCGGCAGGTCTCGCCATACTTCTCCAGCGGAGCCGCATACCTCGGTCGACGCCTCGATCACCAGGAGCCATACGACAACAGCCGATGAGCGGAGGAGCCGAACCGGAGAGACGAGTTTCCTTCGAGCTCCTGCCTTGGAAGCTGCAGCCGATCGACCTGGAGCCATCCAGATTCACCAGGCCACCTCGACAACTTCTGGAAGTCTGGGACGTGCGCATCAGTAGGTACACATCGCCAACTGGACACTGGACAGTACCAGGAGCCCTCTCGCCTCTACCGCCTTCACCACCTGGCAGATCCACCAAGGCGACGCAGACTGCAGTGACGAGCAGAGTGCACCGAAGCACCCAGGTGACGCCTCTACCTCCGGCGACCACCGAACAAGGCACGCAGTCGGACTCGGACTGGGAGACGTCAACGCAGACCGCAGCCACGCAGACCGAGCCAGCTGCAGTGGACGAAAACAACAATCGTCCTAGGAATAAAGTGGACGCCAATAACAACCGTCCGAAATTCAAGCACTATACGAAGACCCTGCCAAGCCTATGTTACAGGGAGCACCTGTAATTTAAAACGGCCCTTTTCAGGGCCCCCTGTAAACGCCTGCAAATACAAACGGTCCTTTTCAGGGCCTATGTAAATACTGTAAATATACGTAGTTAAACTTTGATAAGTGTAGTCACTCCGAGGCGCACCTAATACTCTCCTGCGGCACCACCTCTCCTGTCAAAAAATTCAAGAACGCGAAATTAAGGCGGATACACAACGAACGAACCGCCATATATATATATATATATATATATATATATTTATTTATATATATTTATATTTATATATTTATATATTTATATTTATATTTATTATATATTATATTTTTATATTTATTATATTATATTTATGAAATAGAGAGATGAATTGAAAAGTTTAATATTACTGGCAATAACGAAAGAAATATTACTGAGATATTACTGAAACAGTCAAAATTATTAACTGATTCTTCCTATAAAATATCACTGATTTACAGCGCTGTACTTATAATTACTGTAATCAGTGATTATTTACTGTTTTTCAGTGATAATACACTGATTCACTTTTAGAGAGTGCTTTATTCGACAACATTATTAAATATATTATTATGCTAAGAGAAAGACGTCAAAATGCGGTACATGTCATGATGTCAGGAATCTGTGACATTAGATCGTCACTTTTACGTCATAAAAACGTCAATTCGTGACGTCAAGAATAGTCAGTGAATGACCAATTTGAAACGTCAAAATGACGTGTGCTTGCTACCTGAATGATTGCAATTGCAATAAATTAATCGATATATAGGTAGCAATTATTTGGATAAGTATTACATTCGATATGCATGGTCGATTCAAATAATTGATCTATAGGTATTACTTTCCGATTCACACATGAGGCGCATAAAGTGACAGAAAATGTATAATATGCGTGACATGAACTATACATTTTCTGTCACTTCATGCGCATCATGCGTGAATCGGAAAGTATATTATGTACCGATCAATTCATTCCAATTACAGTCGGTAATTTCTCGCATGATGCAAAAAAATTATACATCTCTCATCGTCACGAGAACACAACGCCTCTTTCGTCAAACGTGCGAACCGTACAAGAAAAATATGTAAAAAATGTAGTATAGCTAGCCACGACCAAGACGGTGACGTTTCTTAATTAAAAAGTTTCACATTGAAACTTTGCATCGTTATATTTCTGCTTATAGAGCAACAATAGAGCAAAAATAAAGACACTTTTCTCATATAAATCGAATCCTAGCAATTGATTAATTTCGTTTAATATTTTTTTCTATTTTTCTATTTTTCTATTTTTTACAAATTGTATTATTAGTATTACTTAATTTTAATTTTTCCCGTAGCATTTCATCGGAGCATCGTGTGGTTCGTATATTAGGCAGACGATACGCATTGACAGCTACGGAATTCAAATTCCTCGAAATTGGTATCAACGTGGGTCCGCCGAGTTACGTGGAGATTGTCATAGGAAATCATCGGGGAAAGGAACTGATATTATCTTTCGATACGTGGAAGGGACTCTGCGAGCAACGTCGCAATATTTTAAATCTCCTTCGACTCTCACGACATCTACAATTTTATAAGCGTTGGACCGTTAACAGTGCGAGTTCGTACAATTAACAACGCTAAACTCATAAGTCTCGAATCTTCAAACGTATGCATGATGATGGTCGAATCGACGTTACACCGTATGTTCGATCTCGATCAATGCATAGATGTAACTTTTGATCGATTAGATAAAATTATCCAAACAGTCGATGTCAAATTTACGCAATTCTCCAATATCGCGTCCACTGTAACGGATCCTAAAAAAGTATCAAATGTAATACGCGCGAGTGACGCTTTCAACAAGCATCAACTCGTCGATTGCGAGCTGGCGGCTTTAGCTTTTAGTTCATATAATATGTAAGACAAGAAAATATATAAAAACATGAATAAAGAGTTTTAAGTTTACTATATCATGGTGTACTTTCTTTGCGTTTGCCCATCCCAGCTTTCATGCTCCTTGCGAGAGAGTTATCATGAGAGAGCAAACACTAGGAAAGAAAGAGAGATAAGGATACGTCGAACGAAAAAATCTAGAATTACTTATATCGGGGGTGAGGGATGTACCGCGAAAGCGCAAAGCGACCCAACATCGGCGCTGATATTCGAGCGGCGGAAGCAAGGGTACAAAGCAGCCGAACGGCGCTGATATGTTAAAAATTCTTCCAAGAAAAAATCGCGGAAGACGATTCTGGGAGGTGTTTATATTGTTTGTTTATATTGTTTATAAATTCGCATGCTGCGTAATTCAATGAGAGAGAGATAAGGATACGTCGAACGGATAAAAAATCTAGAATTACTTATATATCGGTGGGAGTGGAGGTGGGTACCTATATTGGTGGCGAGGGAGGGGGGTGGGGTGTACCGCGAGAGCCATTTTGTTTTGCAAAAACATGTTCCAACACGTTAGGATATGTAAGACAATATTGCTTAAGGAATATCGCTGTTTATATTGTTTATAAATATTTTATCAACCGGGCATGTAATATAATATTGCGATAAAACATCTAACATGCGCCGCCTCCGAAATCCCCTCCGTCCCGCGTGACGTCATTCCCCCGCGCCACCGTAATCCCCGCGCGCCTCACCCCCCCTGAGAGGACCTGATTTAGAACCCGCCTATATATCCTACTGATGATACTGATATAATTAGAAATGCTCACAATTCAACTACAAAAACTTTATTAAATAACAATATTACTTTCTCTATACCTAGCACATCAAATAATATATTGATAAAAGTAAAGATGCAAATCGTAATGAAAAAGTTCTTTAAAAAAAAGATTTGTAAATATTAATACATCTTATACTACTCAATTACAAAATATCATAGAGTATTACATAGGAAAAATGAATATATGTTGTGTACATTGTGGTGCAAAACATTTTAATTTTGAAAATGTAGCTAATAAGGGTAATTCATTTAACGATTGTTGCAGTCATGGTTCTGTTATGTTAGACTCTTTACTACAACCTCCGTATGAACTTTATGAATTATTTATTGGAAATCATTCAAAATCAAATCATTTTTATAATCGTATTCGTGGTTACAATAACACATTTCGCGTCGTTTAATGCAAACATCAGATTTTAGTGCGTAAAGACGTGGACTTTATTGTTTTAAAATTCAAGGACAAATTTATTATCAAATTAATACTGTATTGTATCCTTCACCTAATGAAATGCCAAGTTATGGTCAACTTTTTATTGTGGATAATAATGAAGCGACAGTGTGTCGGTTACATCGAAATTCTAATCTTGATAAAGAAATTTCAATAGATTCAATAGATAATACAATGCGTACGAATAATATCTTTGCAGAATCATATCGAATGATGCATGAATTCAAATGCAACAACAAATAACTGAAAATAATAATATATGTGAGTTACAATTGGGATTTTTGACAAAGAAAGGCATTGATCGTGGCCGATACATACAATGTGCAAAGAGTAAATGAAGTTGCAGCTATTTTTTCTACTACGGCAAATGGTGAAATTCCGGAAACTTATGTAACAATATATAACAAAAATAATAAAACATTACAATAAGTCAATACAATGAATCCAAATGTAGAACCATGGATTTATCCATTATTCTATCCATATGGTAATCAAGGATGGTATGATAATTTATAACGTAAGAATTGTAATAAACGAGTAAGTGGAGCTGCATATGTAAAATATCGCATAGCTATATGTGATAATTTTAATATTTTCATTATGGGAATACGATTATTTCAACAATGGCTTGTTGATAGTTATATAAAAATTGAAAAAGATCGAATTAATTATTGTAAACAGAATCACAAACAATTACGAGCTGATAATTTTCAAGGATTAATTGATTATTTAGCAAACACCGCCAGTAATAATAATGCTCATATTGGAAAAATGATTATACTTCCATCGACATTTGTAGGCTCATCGCGTAATATGTTGCAACATTATCAAGATGCGATGGCTATTGTTCGGAAATATGGAAAACCAAATGTCTTTGTTACTATGACTTGTAATCCAAATTGGCGCGAAATTAAAGAAAATTTACTTCCAAATCAACAACCTGCAAATAGACCAGATATATGTGCTCGAGTATTTAATATAAAAAAAGATTTAATCGATATTATTGTTAGACAAAAAATTTTTGGTGATGTTTTGGCATGTGTTTATGTAATAGAATTTCAAAAACGTGGATTGCCACATATACATTTGTTGATTA